AAAATTGAGCGGTTTTTGTTGAATAACTTTACACATGTGGCTTATATTTATACCAAACTTGATACCTAATTGTAGGTTGTAAAGAACTATCAGTGTATAAAATTTGAAAAAAGTCCATAAAAGTTAAGCATATTTTTCTATCAAATAAAGTGTCCGTGCTTTTGGTGCGAAGAAAAAAAATGGGAAGAAGTTCAATGAAAACTGGATATTTGATATCTCGTGTATTTCTTAATGGATTGCTTGAAATTTGGTATGTAGAGTAAAAATCTAGTAGAGCACACCCACTTAAAATATGTGATCGTTTGGATTATCACAGTCCGAGCTACAGAAAGTGGAAAATCTCTAAACTCTCACTCCTGTTAATAACACACAGTGTCCTGCAGGTTGTTTTCGCCGCACGAAACGCTACCTTGTGTCTTAAATTAAATTAATCAACGACTTTATTTCGGCTCACTAAAAAAAGTTTTAAGCTCAAGTCAATCAGTTTTCTGAATATATCATTAATCAGAGAAGCCTTTGTTTGTTGTTAACCACAAAGTTACACTAGGAGCTAGCTGTACTCTTCATACTGCAAGTATCGAAACCCGATTGTTAGCGTCACAAGCCTGCACATTTACAGCTAAGCCACTGGGGAGGGAGGGGGCAGAGAAGTGATGAACAAGCCATTCAGCCGTAACAAAATATTATTTAACCGACAGGACGAATTGGTCAGCAGCTGACCATCGTTGAAAGACTTCTTACTATATGTATACTAATCTTAATAACCAGTAATAAAATTATCTTTTGTGTTCGAAGTATCGAGAAGCCTTCTGCAGTTTTCAATTGCACGTGTGTAGCGTCTGTCTTGCATACCAAATATTATCCTCCATTTTTAAACTCGTCGAAATATACAAGTTTTACCCAACAAGGACAGTTAAATAATCTGTAAGCCTATTTTATCCATTGTAGACTTCAGTTTATTGATCTTAATACAAAACATAAAATATTTTGTCGCATATATAAGCACTCTGTTATTAAGTATTTGTAACAGAAAGGAAGAGAGACAAAAAAAAGAAACTCCCGTGGACAAAAATAAAATTATGATGAAGTAAATAAAGAGTTTACTTGAACACAAAGTTTAAAATCTATCTTTTTTTTTGTTAGTTTTCTTATTCATGTTACAAGTTAGAATGAAATAATAATCCAAATAATATTTCTTCACAACAAAGAAAAACTGCTTTGCAATAATAGTTATCTTTATTCTACTCTCTTTAATTAATTAAAGGCATTCCGACTAGAAGGAGAGAGAATACTGATTCTGATAATTTATCGTCGACATCATTTCAAATGCTGTGGCGAAAACGCCCTATCTATCGGCGAACAGGCGAACCAACATGTAGCAATCACCATAATGCAGCTCACCCATTGATTATCCGAGGAAATACTGAAAAAAGTCGAGCAGCCAAACGTAGGGTTATCCAAATGCTGTTTGTTCTAGTATTGGAATTTATAGTTTGCTGGACACCTCTCTATATCCTCAACACGTGGGTTCTTTACGATCACGATGGCTTATACTCTAATGTTGGACCCACTGGAATTTCCGTTATTCATTTGCTGGCCTACTGTTCTTCATGTTGTAATCCTATCACATATTGTTTCATGTACAACAAGTTTCGCAAAGCTTTTATCTCCTTCATTGGCTTCCAAAAGAAAAAGACATGGCAGTCCAATTTGGGAAGTGACCTCCCTACAGTAAACAGTGTATTCAGCGCACGGAATACTACCAGACAAGGTAGGTGAAACAAGCCGAACTTTTTCATATTACTCATATAACTTGTTACTTGTGACGTCATGAATATTATTTATATAACTAGTTACTTGTGACGTCATGAATATTACTCATATAACTAGTTACTTGTAACGTCATGAATATTATTCATATAACTAGTTACATTATGCTCTATGTACAAAATGTGTGTAAAGATGAAACAATTACACGTGAATATTTAGATAAATATGTACTAAAAGTAACATTTGTTAAGGTTCCAAAAACTTTATAATTCATGATTTAAACCAAAATTGTTTCTTTTAAGTGAAGTACCTAAAAATGGGAAAAAAAAACCAACTTAGCAAAGTACTGACCACAGGATTATGTCGACCTTGTAAATTATTTAGAGACAAAGAAGGAAAGGAATCAATGTATATGTTAAGATTTTTCGTGATTATGATTTTTAAAAAGAAGTACATTTAAATTTGACTTTTTTATCTATAGACAATAACTTTGATGTTTGAGCGCTATTTCTATAACTATTAATTACGTAATTTTTTTTCCTGTTTCATCAATTTTGATTTGCAAAGTAAATGTTTCGTTTCTTATCAAATTTCAGAGATGTTTGGACGCATTGAAGACATGAGACTTTAGATCGACTCATCACGAAAAAAACAAACAGTTTTTCAAAAATCGATATTCGTCGGAATAGAAAACTGGATGATTTGTAAACTTTTCATAGTTGTTAAACAGGATTAAGGATTTCAACATAATATAATGGAATGATCATAAAGCAAGTTTAAAATAAAATACAATGTTTTCTGGTGATACTTTACGATGGGTACTGAGGGAAATTAACCGAATCACTAAAAATATTCGCGTTCGTAATGTTCCGTTACAGCTTTAATATTTGGAGAAAGTCGTTGTGCAAAGAATGAAAAACAAATATATTGGTTGAGAAAAAAAAGGCAGTAAACACAATATAAAAAAACAACATAAACTTATTAGGTCTGATATAATGCGATCAAAGTACGTTGTAAAGTTACGGAATGATTTTATTTTTATATAATGCTTATGATAGAGTACTGCAGAATATTCATAGTAAACAATCTCCAGTATTACGAAATGTTTATTGTAGATGGTTTACAGTGTAACTAAAAGTTTATTGTGAACTTTATATAGTGGTACGAAATGTATATTGTTGACGACCAACAGTTTTACAAAAGTGATTATTTTTGTTACGAAATGTTTAACTTAAACAAGCTACACTGTTACAGAATGTTTTTGTAAACAATTTACACTGACATAGAACAATTATTGCAGACGAACTACAGTGATACAAGATGTTTATTGTTTTCGACTTACAGTGAAACAAAATGTTTATTGTTGACGTCTTACAGTGAAACAAGATGTTTATTGTTGATGACTTACAGTGAAACAAGATGTTTATTGTTGACGACTTACAGTGAAACAAGATGTTTATTGTTGAAACAAAATGTTAATTTTGACGACTTACAGTGAAGCAAGATGTTTATTGTTTTCGACTTACAGTGAAACAAGATGTTTATTGTTGAGTCGTCAAAATTAATATTTTGTTTCAACAATAAACATCTTGTTTCACTGTAAGTCGTCAAAATTAATATTCTGTTTCAACAATAAACATCTTGTTTCACTGTAAGTCGTCAACAATAAACATTTTGTTTCACTGTAAGTTGAAAACAATAAACATCTTGTTTCACTGTAAGTCGTCAAAATTAACATTTTGTTTCAACAATAAACATTTTGTTCACTGTAAGTCGAAAAAATAAACATCTTGTTTCACTGTAAGTCGTTACAGTGAAACAAAATGTATATTGTTGACGACCTACAGTGATACAAGATGTTTATTGTTGACGACTTAGAGTGAAACAAAATATATATTGTTGACGACCTACAGTGAAACAAAATGTTTATTGTTGACGACCTACAGTAATACAAGATGTTTATTGTAGACAATATATACTTAACAGAATGTTTTTGTAAACAATTTACATTGACCAAGACATACAGTATTAAAAATATTAATATCGTTGACGATTCACTTTAGACTATCATAACAGTGTTTATTTGTTTGTGATTGATATGCTCACTATAAACCACCGTTTAGAAGATCCCCTATTTTGAAGAAAATTTACTTTAGACACTGTAAAATTTTTTACAGATAGTTGTTGTACACTTTCATACAATGTTTATAAAATGTTTGGTGACCAAGCTACTGTAATGTAGTGGTAAAAAATATACGTTGCAGATACTGTTACAGATACATATTACTGTCAATGACTGGCACTTTTATAAAAACATTTATTCAGCCAACCTATAATGATTACCTTTACTGTACTTTGTCTTTCATTGTTCATCAAATATTTGTTGAGTACAACATCGTTGTGTTGTAGAGAATTCTACACCTGTAAATAACAATTATCGTCAACATTTCTACGGTCTTTCGAGTTATATTTTGTAACAAAAAGTAAAAAAGCTATACTTATATTTGTTACAAATGATTCTACATTGTTCTTGTTGTTGTTATTATAAATAATCTAACAACATGTTGTTTAACAAAACAATTCTGAAAGAGAGAGCCTGAGGATGACTGTATTAGAAAATAGTTCACGTGCTAACGTAATAATGGGGCCAAATAACCCAATAAAACCAATACTTTTTAACATAATGAGTAAGCAGTTAAAAGGCATTACTTCAAAGAGATGTATTTAACTTAGGATAAAAACAAAATAAACTTGATTATAGAGTTATAGTTGAACAAAGCTGAAACTAAAACTACGGTACGGTTTGATGGGTGAATGAAACAGTGAAACAAAACAACGGAACAATTTAATGGTTGAATAAAACAGTAAAACAAACTACGGTACAGTCCGATTGGTGAATGGAGTCCGTAGTTTGTTTTACTGTTTCATTCAACCATTAAATTGTACCGTTGTTTTGTTTTACTACTCCATTCACCAATCGGACTGTACCGTAGTTTGTTTTACTATATAGTTTGATGGGTGAATGAAACAGTAAAATTAAACAACGGTACAGTCTGACAGTTCAATGAAACAGTAAAATTAAACAATTGTACAGTCTGGTGATTTAATGAAACAGTAAAAAAAGAACGGTACAGTATAATGTTTGAATAAAGCAGTAAAACGGTACAGTTTGGTGGTTGAATAAAACAGTAAAACGTAAGTGAAAGATAGGTAAGAAATACGACTTAAAACAGCGTTTGTTTCCTTCATGTGTTTACTGTAACTAAACATGATTGCCGTTTACGTATTTCTTTATGATATATAAATATATATTGTAATGAATATTGTACAGTCCACTTATCTGAAAAGTTCCACGTAATTATAGATGTCGTTAATCGCGTTCCAAAGTTACAGATATATTTGTGGAGAAATAGTCAACTTGGACCTTTTAAATAATGTACACAGTCACGTTTTTCTAGATACTGAAACTTGGTCGAGCTTAAGACGTAGCATAGATTGAGTAGATAGAACTAAATGTACTGAATGTGTGTCTGGGAAAGAAAAAAATGGTTAACTTAGTTATAAGTAAACAACAGAAATAATCTAAAGAACTAGTTATATAAGTAAAACAACCACAATGGTTAAGCAGAACAGTTAACTTGGTCGTTAACAGCACCTACTTATGGTATTATACGTGGTTGGTGGTTAACAGTACTTACTTATGGTATTATACGTGGTGGTTAACAGTACATACTTATGGTATTATACGTGGCTGTTAACAGTACCTACTTATGGTATTATATGTGGTTAATAATAGTACCTACTTATGGTATTATACGTGGTGGTTAACAGTACCTACTTATGGTATTATACGTGGCCGTTAACAGTACCTACTTATGGTATTATACGTGGTTGTTAACAGTACCTACTTATGGTATTATATGTGGTTAATAATAGTACCTTCTTATGGTATTATACGTGGTGGTTAACAGTACCTACTTATGGTATTATACGTGGTTGTTAACAGTACCTACTTATGGTATTATACGTGGCTGTTAACAGTACCTACTTATGGTATTATATGTGGTTAATAATAGTACCTACTATGGTATTATATGTGGTTAATAATAGTACCTACTTATGGTATTATACGTGGTGGTTAACAGTACCTACTTATGGTATTATATGTGGTTGATAATAGTACCTACTTATGGCATTATATGTGGTTAATAATAGTACCTACTTATGGTATTATACGTGGTCGTTAACAGTACCTACTTATGGTATTATACGTGGTCGTTAACAGTCCCTACTTATGGTATTATACGTGGTCGATAACAATACCTACTTATGGTATTATACGTGGTTGTTACTGTGATTCCTTTTTCCTCGTATTTCAAAAATTGAGGAGATGAAAGTTATTTTGTTTTAATACAAATCTATTCCCCTTGGAAAGCGTGAGAAATTGATCCTACCTTAAAGTGTAAAGAGTGTGAAATGTATCTAAAGTATTAATTAGAGTAAATATAAGTGAAATATTTCAAAGATAAATCAAGTTGGGACTGATGAAATTAGTTTTGGATGAATTCACTTGAAGTGGGTAAAACTTGTTTTTTTATGACTAATTTGAATGAAGTGGTTAACCTATCCCCCTTTTTTTTAGAGAAGATATCCATGCGGATTGTTTAAAATAAAAATGAGTCATTTTTAAGAATAAATTTAGTTGGTGTGGATGAAATTAAACCTTTATGTGGAGGAATTCAGTCGGAGAAAATTAAATTAGCAACTTTTAAATTGTCATTAATTAGTGGTACATTCAAAGGGAATGATACTTTTCTTACTTAGTGCAGTGAAATTCGGTATACTCAAATATGTAGAATGAGTAATATCCTGCTCAAACACGTATCCAGATTGAATGAGTGATATTTATTTTGCTCAAATTTCTCGATTTCTCGATTATGTTTCAGAAGTAAATATTGAAAATATATATTGAGTAACATTTGTATTTATCTTGAAATCCTGCTTAACACTTCTTTATTTTATATAACTGATACTGCTTCCACTGTAACTTACCTCATTAAGTTGTAAACTATCTTTTGTGCATTGGAAACAATTGATAACATGTATTTTATTCAGTTGTCAGTGCTAAATGTGTGTAACGTGATCAGTACTGTAATAAAAAATATATGTTTATCCTTCAAAATGCTAATTTAATAAATACAACAGAGTGGCAGTTGCACATGTTAAAGTACTTTAGCAAGAGCCTGTTTTAAAAGCACTTGAATATATATTTATGACTACGAGTAGTCGAAAGTCTGGAACGGGGGGGAAGAGACATTTTTAGATTTGATCAGAGCATCTGAGATGAAATTCATTCCGTTTATTATCTTGATCATATGCTGATGATTACTCGTCTCATCGGACTTTCTTCCATATACTGATGATTGCTCATCTTATCGAACTTTCTTCCATATACTGATGATTACTCGTCTTATCGAACTTTCTTCCATATGCTGATGATTACTCGTCTCATCGAACTTTCTTCCATATACTGATGATTGCTTATATCATCGAACTTTCTTCCATATACTGATGATTGGTCATCTTATTGAACTTTCTTCCATATACTGATGATTGCTCATCTCATCGGACTTTCTTCCATTTACTGATGATTGCTCATCTTATCGAACTTTCTTCCATATACTGATGATTGCTCATCTCATCGGACTTTCTTCCATATACTGATGATTGCTCATCTCATCGGACTTTCTTCC